AGCCACACCCTCAACCGAGTGATATGATGAATTCATTTCGAATGAAACTTTTATTCTTCGAATTCATAGTATAATCTATATTCAGTAAGAGGAACATAATTGAATAAAATTCTCATTGGTGAAGTATAACTGTCTTATTAAAATGATTTGACTTTTATACAAATTTTTTTTTTTCGGTTCGCAAACTCCCTATTCTATTTCAAATCTGTAGTGTTTTCTAGGAGATGTGTAAGAAGTACTCAGTTCAGTTGTTTGCTGGAGAAGCATCCAGTGATTCTTCCTCTACAGTTTCCTATTTCAAGCATCAGTTAATGTTGTCCATGTCGTCATTCTAAGAAGCGAAAGATTTTTGTCTTTGTTCAGCAGAAACGAAAATACAGAACTGAAAAGAATGAAATAGACAATAATAATATGTCTAGATATGCACAAGAAAAATCTTGTATTCACTATTGTTAAGGAATTCTCAACAGCATTTTATTCTTCTGTAGAATCTGTAAAGTTGCATATGTCTTCGAATTGTGGCTTTCGAAATGAGCTTTTTCGTATTATTGCTTCGATCAAACATGATCAAAGGAAAGCAGAATGTGCATGTTGGTAGATGAATTGAATACTGGACAGCCATACCTACGAATGCTTTTAGAAAAAAACTTCCATCTTTATATTAGTGATTATACTGTTTCATTTAATATTTGTCGAGTTAAATATTCGTTAGCTGATGAATAAATATATGTCAATAGCAAGTACTCTAATAAAAATTAAACAGTCGAATGATTTTCCGGTTTCTTTTTATGTAATTTGACGACAATAATTTTTTAATCCCTTCTATTCGCACATTCTTCACAAATGTCGAATGCTTCCCCTGAACAATCGCAACACCATGATAAAAACCAAATTTGTCTCGAACATATGTCACATACAATTCTGACTGATGCATGTGGATACTGGAACCTTTTCTCACGCATATTCGAGTTATATAGCTCCAGACGATGTCCTCTTGGACATTGCAGCTTCAACGTACCTGCAAAAAACAAAATACAACAAAAAAAGAATATCTACTTGTTGAATCAGAGAAAACTGTTATATATTAGAAAAGAAAGTACCCAGTCAAACAGAAATTTCGAAAAAACGCATGAAAACGCGTTTATAGGCGTTTTTTGTAACTTTCTAGGCATTAAAACGACAAAAATCCCAAAGTTTTGGAAGTTAAAACGCTCTATTATTTTAGAATTGAAAAACCTTGCGTTTTCACGCCCAGAAACTGGAATTGTCGCCGTTTCAACGCCTAGAAAGTTACAAAAAACGCCTATAAACGCGTTTTCGTGCGTTTTTCTAAATGAGCGTTAATCACCCACAATCGTGGTTCCGTTTGTGCGTTTAAACGCGTTTTTTCGAAACTTCTGTTTCACTGGGTAGAGTCGAACCAATGAATTTTCGTACCACAACAGTTTGCAGTTTTTCACGTTGAAAGCCAACATGTAACGGTCGTTTTGATTTGATGCTTTATCTTTTAGGATTAGAGCTCCATCTATGAGGGACGTGAAGTGATTTGATGGTGTATGTCATGACTAATATAAAAATAGATCTACTCATGTTGATTATTCGACTAGACATCCTAAAACTTCGATAAGTATGAGAGTACCAGTCTAATTTCAGCTTCCTACCAATCTATCCTGAATTAGAAATATCGAATACTTTTATCAATTTTAGCTTAGGAACCTCGTTATTATTGTCGAATATAATAAATCCTGATTAGAAATAATTGCTTTATACAAGGGTGTGGGTGTGTGGATGTGGGTGGTGTGAGTGGTACACCCAGCCACAGCCACACAGATACCGACACCCCACACCCACCCACACCCTTTTCATTGAAAAACGTTCAAAAAGCGGAAATTCAATTTATTCAATATGGTTACCGTTGATTTCTAGTTGAATAGGTGTCTAAATTAAATTTAAAAGCTTATAACTAAAGCAAAAAGGATTAACAAGGACTAACTGTTCGATTTTGTTGAGCATCTATTAAATATTTTGTGCCTGAAGGTCCGATTTCATTTCCACGAAGTTTAAGTGTAGTCAGTGTCTGAAAAAACTTGTGAAATAAAACATCTTAAGATTTTAAAGTGTTCTATATTACCGTATTATTTATCAAAGCATCTGCCAGATGATAAGCTCCTTGATCTCCAATATGATTTGATCGAAGATCTATGCTTTTGAGTATCTATTATCGATATTTATTGTAAGCATGAAATATATGAAGCAAGCAACATGATTACTGTAGAATTTCTTATTAATGAAGCTAGAATCTGTGCACCTCTATCACCTATTTTAGTTGTTATAAGACTTATTGTTCGAATGACCTGAAGAACATTAGTAAAATGCATATTAAACAAGAGATCAATCGACGATTACTGTATTTTTTTGTAAAACAAATGATAAAAGTTCGATTATATTATCTCCAATTTCATAAAAATTGAGATCAACATAGTCGCGATTCTAGAAAGAGGTCATGAACGAACAATAATAATATTGAATGATCATAGATTACTTCATAATTCAGAATATCCATTACAACTGAAATAGCTTTACAAAAAACGAATTTATTCTCATTCAGATTGAGATATTTCAGATTCTAAATTAAAAATGAAGTGACGAATACTAAAATGATAAAAGAATCTAAGATCTGACTGTGTTGTTTTTGAGTGCATTAATGAAACTATTCGCTCCTTTATCTCCAATCTGATTCTTTCGAAGATCCAATCTAGTAAGTACCTATAACAGACAAAAAAAAGCGAAACGAAGAAAAACTAGTTACTGATAATTATTGTATTGGTTTCTAAAGTATGAGCTAAATGTTGGGCTCCTTGATCTTCGATGCAGTTATTTTGAAGTGCAAGTGAAGTGAGAGTCTATCCGTATGATAAGAAAGCGATAGATATAAGTAATAGAAAGTTAGAAATCGATAGATACTTGATGATGTTGTAATATTTTAGCCAAATATATTACTCCTTCGTCTCCAATTCGATTATTGTCGAGATTCAGTGTGATTAATTCCTAGTTTCCAATAATGTGAAAACGAAAAATAATGGAACTAAGTTATTAGTGATTACCTTTGTTTTACTCAGTGCATCGGCAAGATGTTTCGCTCCTTGTCCTGTAATACTATTGCTATCAAGATGTAATTCTTTAAGTACCTATAATGAACAAGTACAATATTAAAGTATAATAACTGTTGACATTTACTATATTAGTTTCTAAAACATGAGTCAAATATTGAACTCCTTGGTCATCGATTTGATTGTCTCCTAGATATAGTTGAGCTAGAGTCTACGAGTACAATAAAGAGGAGCAGAAGAAAATAAATAAAAATTAAATCCATGATAAATACCGAATGCTGATGTAATACATTCGTTAGATATTGTACTCCTGTATTTCCAATTTGATTGCCCGTAAGGTTGATTTGAACCAATGTCTAATTTTGAACAACGTGAAAAATGAAACTTATTAAATCAAGTTATGAATATTTACTTTCTTATGATTCAGTGCATCAACAAGATATTCTACTCCTTGTTGTCCAATATTGCAGTAACTGAGGTCTAATTCAGTGATAGTCTAGATTACTAAAAGATATTATGAACAACAATAATGGGTAATATAAACCGTATTATCGTGTAAAGCTAAGCTAATATATTTTGCACCAGTGATTCCTATATGTGTTGCATACAGCCGTAATGTTTTCAATTGCTGTAGTAAGAAATAAATATTGAAAAATTTGAAGAAAAATTAAAAAAACTTAAATTACCTTGTTGTGTCGCATGATTACAAATGATTCTAGTGCTCTACATAAAACACTAGGATTGTTTGTTAAACTGAGTGTTTCGAGTGTCTAAAGGAAACAATTATCTTTGAGAAGTACATACAGGATAAAGTAGAACTCACTGTATTTTTTATAATTCCATCAGCAAGGTTTTCCATTCCTTTGTCTTGAATTTGATTCGAATCGAGCTCTAATACAGTAATAGTCTGAAAAGACTACAGATATAAACGAAAAGAAATCATCAATAAATGTTACCTTGTTCTCTTTTAACATATCACCTATGTATGCTGCACCTATATTAGTAATTCGATTTTGATTTAATTTTAATTTATGAACAGACTATGAAGAGAAAAAAATAAATTAATGAAGAAATATCAACAGACACTCACCGACTTTGTTCTTAAGATATCAATCAAATAGTGTAATCCTTGGTCACCGATGTTATTGTCTGATAGATCAATTGTCTGAATAACCTAGTAATACAAGATAAACGACCACTTTATTGATAATTGGAAAATGATATTTCTATTTGTAGGCAAGGCGACATATGTTTGCTTTTTTTCAGTTCTAATTTTTTTTCCAAAATAAAAAAAGGGGTGCAATCAATTGATATGTGAAAATCATGAAGAAACATTGTCAAATCAAAGTAAATCGAACTCACTGAATGATATCGTAATGCTTCGGTCAAATATCGAACATCCTTATCTCCAATTTGTTGTCTTGTAAGTATCAACTCCTTGACGTTCTATTTGATATAGTGCGTATGAGGCTATATTTTGTAGAAAAAAGAATTATAAATGACCTTTTGATTTTTAATGCGAATTGCTGTTTCAACGACAAAAAATCGATAATTTTGATAATTAGTGAGACGAAGTTTCTTTAAAGTCTATATGAAGAAAGATTGCTTAAAACAAAAGACAATTCGCAAAATCACCCTATTATTTTCCAAAGCATTAAAAAGATCTTCTACTCCTTTTTCTCCAATATTATTTGATCGTAGATCGATTTCTTGAAGAGTCTAAAGAGAACGAGTACTACAAGAAAATAAATAATAACTATTACTGACCGTATTGTTTTGTAAACCATCAGCGATGTATTTAGCTCCTTTATCTCCAATTCTATTCGATCGAAGATCTAATGTGAAAGTTTTCTATATAGAAAACATCGACATACATTTGAAAACAGTACAGAATAAACGATAATAACCTTGCTGTTTCGTATTTGAAAACTTGCATTCATAGCAACAGCATCACATTCTTCATTACCTGTTAGATCGAACTGCCCAAGTTTCTATGTATAAAAACGTTTAAATGTATTGAATAAACATATGTAATGTAGCAATTTTACATTTTTATTTTGAAAACATTCATAGAGATGATTTGCAGTTGTTGTACTAATTTTATTGGAACTAAGATTTAACACTCTCAGTACCTACGAAGCAAAATAATCAAAGTTTTGAGAAAAATAAAATACAATGAATACTTACCATATTGTCCCGTAAAGCATCGGCTACATAAAGTGCTCCTTGGTCTCCAATTTTATTGTCTCTGAGATCAAGTGTAGTTAGTTTCTTTTTATAGACATAATAAAAAAAAAACAACTGAGAAAATTGGAGAAGTTGTCAACACAACTACTACTGTGGTTCAAAAGTCACTATAGAAACTCAGAATATTTTTGAATTAGATGCATTGAGATTTACTAATATAAATGAGATAGGCGTGATATTCTCTAATTTTCTAGAGATCTAGTTTTCAACTTAACTAATAGATGATTATAAGTTATGATATTCTTCATTCAGTTTCTTTTTACTAGATATCGTTCGTTTTGATCTAATAAAAACTATAAGCCTAAAAAACAACGTTAATTCATGATTACCATTTTGTTTCGAAGTGAATCGGCTAGATATTGTGCTCCCTTGGTTTCAATGTGATTTCCTCCAAGAACAAGTAAACGAAGTACCTATTTTTAAAAGATAAAAATAGAAGATGAAAAGCGTAGAAGAAACAAAGTTACCGTGTTATTGACTAAAGCCTCAGCAAGAAATTGTGCACCTTCATCACCTATTTCATTGTTTTCTAGATGAATACCGCAATTTTTCTATGTAAAAAATTCATCAACTAACTCGTTGCGTATAGTATGAATAATTAAAAGTTACCGTGTTGTTTCGTAATACGTTGCTTAGATATTCTATTCCTTTATCTCCGATTTTATTGTCTCCAAGTTGAAGGGAAACAAGTTTCTTTTTTCGATGAAAACAACAAGCATAAGCCACATAGTGAAACAAAGAATTCTCTATTGGAAAATTACCGTATGATTTTTTAAAGCGTCAGCTAGAAATCGCACACCTTCATCACCAATCTCATTCTCATCGAGATGAATATGTGTGATTACCTATATAATAAGGATAAATCGATTTTTTGAATATAATAGAAATAATTAATAGTAACCATATTTTGTTTTAATGCATTGCTCAGATATTGAACTCCACGAATTCCGATTTGATTCTTCCCAAGACTCAGTCCAGTAAGTGTCTTATGGTGTCAATATATAAGTAAAAGTACATGCAAGTCGTAGAAAAATCAGATGAAGAATTACTTTAATAGATGTTATCATTTCAGCTATATATCGTGCACCATCTTCTCCGATTCCATTTTTTTCTAGATTAATATGTTGAATTGTCTATATAATTAATAACAATGAAAAAACAACTGTGCGTCAATGTGAAAAGAGAGTTACCGTATTTTCTTGCAATTCACTGCTCAGAACGTGTACTCCATTGGTTCCGATTTGATTGTCTCTTAGATCAAGGTAAATCAGTGTCTTTTTGTTGTAAAAAATAAATCGAGAATGAAATACATAGACATCAATGTTACCGTATTATTTCTCAAGCCTCCAGCAATATATTGAACACCTTCTTCTCCTATGGCGTTAGAATCTAGGTGAATACGTCGGATAGTCTATATAGTAATAATGACACAATTT